TTAGATGGCCGGCCTTGACTAAAACTCATGGGTGGCATTGCAGGGACACAAAGCATTGTTCAGTACATTTGCCTTTTTTGCCCACATGTTGCATTTTTGTATGCGTACAAGACGGACACTGCATTACTGATCCACAGAAATATATTCACCATCACATCATGTGTTCGTTCGTAGGGCAGAGCAGAAACAATTTATAAACACATGCAAAATGAATTAAGGCAGAAACGTTTTATTTGTTTAAGTTTGTTTATTTATCACTTTTACTTCATACTGTAAGACATATAAGGCAAGATTATGTGTACAAGCACAACTCACATAGTAGGCCCAACAGGCAAGACTGGTGTGCATAAACATTATTTACAAACTTGTGTATCTCACTGACATCCTCTTAATGATTCTCTCTCATGTGTTTAATTATCATAAGCTGATGTTATTAACTAAGATAGAGTGTAAGGTTTTAGATAAATTAGAGTACAGGCCCTAAGTGTTGTATTTTTAAGTATTTATATGTTATGGATACTGAATCAATTGTAAATTCAGAAATCCTAAATTATTTAAAATGTAGACATACTGCACAACATTTGTTTGTTATCTAGTTTACTTATATGTATATTTTTCATGTGAACAATAATGTCAATGTATATTTTTTCATGGCAACGAACAACAACAATGAGGGAACATTTCAAGCAAAGTTTTGTATTTTCTTTCAGTTTCAAAAATGTATTATTTCACATTATTCATGCTCATGAGCTGAGGTTCATTCTTGATCTTGTTTGAACAATAAATGAACAGTGATAACATTTTTGAAAGGTGGGTAGTAATAAGTAATAACATAAGAGGTGTAGTTTATATAAATCTATATTTAATCAGTTATATTTTTCTGAGATATTAATAACGATTTCAGACATAGGTGTATATGTGCAGACTTTTTCTCATATACAGTGTCACCTGAACATTTATATTTGTTCAGGAAGGTCTATATTTATATAGTAATTAGATATAATAGAAAACATACTGTATATATTAGAACAATTCGTTAACTGTTAAATTAAAGGGCTCTTTGGGTCCCTTTACCCAACAAATGTTTCTTTGTATTATGTTCAGGCTTTAATATAATAATGTAGCACTTGGGCAAAAAAATACAGAACAGCATTCCATAACTGGAGGCCAGAATAGCAAATATCTCCACAGCCACAGTGAACTTCCCAGGAGAGCTGGCATATGCTGGGATAAAGGTGATCCAGACAGCACAGAATATCAACATGCTGAATGTGACAAATTTAGCTTCATTAAAATTATCAGGCAGCTTTCTAGCAAAAAAAGCAAGTAGAAAACACAACACAGCTAAGAGCCCTATGTATCCTAAAACAGCCCAGAACCCTACAGGTGATCCCAGGGCACACTCAAGAATAATCTTATCCTTATAGTGGTTCATATTTTTAAAGGGAAATGGAGGATTGATTGTCAGCCAAAGTATGCAAATTATAACCTGTATTAGAGTAAAACTCAGAACACTGAGTCTCTGCTGGGCAGGCCCGAACCACTTCATCATATTACTGCCTGGAAGTCTTGCTTTAAAGGCCATTAACACCACTATTGTTTTCCCCAGAACACAAGAGATAGAGAGGACAAAGGTGATGCCGAATGCTGTGTGTCGCAGCATGCAGGACCACTGAGAGGGCCGGCCGATGAAGGTCAGAGAACACAGGAAACACAGAGTCAAGGAGAAGAGCAGCAGGAAGCTCAGCTCAGAGTTGTTGGCCCTGACAATTGGAGTCTGTCTGTAGTGGAAAAATATCAGGGCTATAGTTATCGCCAGGCAGGCACCAAAAACAGAAAAGGAGACCAAGAGTATACCCATCAATTCCCCAAAGGTGAGGAACTCAATAGCTTTCAAATCACAGTTATTCCTCTCTTCGTTGGACTTGTACTCGGGAAGGCATTTGTCACATTTCACTGCATCTGAAAGCATAAACATGTTTAGGCTGTACAGCACACACATCTTTAGATAGACAAGTAAAGTGCTTGCAGTGATTTTGCCCAATAGAAACACGGTGAGTGCTAGCGTAAAGGCTAGGAATCCTGCTGTCTCACTTGTACTGTTGCTGAACCCCCCGTCAGCACAGGCGACGCAATCAAAACAGCAGATAGGCTTCCCTTTGACAAAAGCCCGACGCGTCCCTGGCAAACAGCTCTCACTGCAAATTGACCTCGGAACCTGTATCATAGTGACAGCGTAAAGTCATTAATATCCCGATTAATATGGTGATGAGCTGTTTATTAATTCCTTTTACTCAGTAATCAAAATAATAATTTATAAGAAAACAATGTGACATTCAACATCTCTACAAAGAAACCAACTAATTAATACATCTGTACTTACTTCAAGATTCTCGCCTGCCCAGATGGCTCTCACATCTTCCTTCATCTCAAACTGCTGACCCTCAGGCTGGGAGGCATCATAGAAGCCAATAGTTTCAAAGACTATGTAACCTTTGTCATCCATCTGCCAGTTTACCAGTGCATAACGAGCCACTGGGTCACCCAACTCATCGAAGAACACATTTTCGCCAATCTTGGTGGTGAAATTGACCTGTGTTAGGTAATGGAGCACCTTTAGGGAAACACATATGTTGTTAATAATATACATAGCCAGTAACATACAAAGTAGAATGAATTGAGGCACTGACTTTGTTTTTATGTTTACCTGCCATGTTTGGGGATTTTCCCTGTCAGCACAAGTATTGTTTTCAAAAGGCCCTTGTCCATCTTTGCATGTAAATAACATGTGCAATGCATGAGCGACAGCATATGTGGCCTTATAAACATTATTTAACAAACTTGCGTCTGAAACATCTGTGAAGCGTGTGTTTGTTTCCCAAAGAGACTCCTTCCCTGAACAGGCTGGAACTGAACTCTGTGCGTGAGTCTCTGTTTGGGGCGTCAGGGTGCAGCCAAACGCCGTCTCCCACAACTCCACCAGTCCCTGGTCTCCCGCTGTGGTGGAGGGCCTGCTGTTAGCCAGGAACTCCTGCAGTCCAGGGATGTGAGCATTTAGTGCTGCAAAGCCCACTGCACCCTGCACCACAGCATAGTTTACTGGAGAGGCAATGTAGCGATACGTGATCCAGCCCTCACTGCCCACCCACTGCAGGCCTGTCATATTCTGAGCATGAAGCTCCTTAATAAGTATGTCAAGGTCTGTGCCATCAGCAAATGCCACTATTACCTTAGAGGTGGATTTCTTTATGATGTCTACTACCTCTAAGAACCACTTTCTGGCATCAGTTCTGTAAATAGCCACAGAGTACTCAACGCACACTCCTTCCCTTTCTGCTGCTTCCAGGAAAGTGGCCATGCCACCATTACCATAGTCACTATTAGTTCTGATAGCACCCACCCAGGTCCAGCCAAAGTGTTTCACAAGCTTTGCTAAGGCTTTGCTCTGATAAAGGTCACTGGGGATGGTCCTAAAGAAAGAAGGATAGTCTCTTCTGTTGCTAAGACAAGCACAAGTTGCTGAATGACTGATCTGAAACACAGATAAGACAGAAAATCAGCTAATATTTAGATGCATTCAATGCCTTGTACAAAACAGACATTTCATTAAACATTGTCAGATGTTATAATTTTTCTTATTCAACAACGCCAATTCACTCACCACAGGTATATGGAAGGGTCCCATGGTGCGTGCAATACCTATTGTAGAGGTAGATGTGGTTTCCCCTATGACAGCATGGACATTTGAGAGTTTGCTACAGCTGCCTTCCCCATTGTCATACCTATTCATGAGGTTTAGCGATGCCCTAATGGAGAGAGGGATACTGGGGCAGGAGTCAAAGATCCTGTAACCCAGTGTCACTCCTGGCAGCAGCTCTGAGCTGTTGTTGATTTCCCTTATGGCAAATATCATAGTATACGCGTACTGAAGCTCTCCTGGGTCCAATCTTACAAAAATGATATATAAAAAAGGATTCACACTTTAACATGAATAAATAACACATATTGTTAAAAGTTGTACATGTTTCCACCCCTCTCTTACCCTTCACACTGGATGGTTCCTGGGTTTACTTGGAGAGATGGATTAACACTGACTGGGTTCTGATGGAAGGAGAAAATGCCTCCAATGTTGATGTCTCCCTCCTTGTGAAATTGAGACTGTTCTTTTGTCCCATATGTCTGACACATAGGCTCACCTCCTCTGACGGCCAGGAGGGAAACAAGGAGCAGATCTGCTATCAGCAGCATAGTAGCTATTTACCACCCAATGCCCAAAGATAAAATCCCTCAACTCTGAGTGTTTTATAGTGTTTTCTTCCTACTATTACAAAGCCACTGGGGCCTAGATGCAACGTGTGAATATGTGTTTCTGTCAACCAATTACAGAAATTGTGGTGTGACTGACAGATAGATGGACATATGAGAAGGCCTATTGGTCGTCATCATTGTTTTTAGCATAACCAGATCCTTACAATAATAATTTCAGAGACATGCGCCCATAGGGATATCTGAGCTGTTTTTCAATAGTATATTTAATCTTTGAGTTTTTATTACAAGTTAAATGATGAAAATACCTAAATGTTTGGACATTGGGCCAATGGATAAATATTATTATCTCAATAGGCTAACATATCCCAATACTCCAAGGAATCTAAAACCTATGGTGTTACATTCAAGAAGGAACTAAAATGTGTTTACGTCATCAAATGTGGAACAAATAAATAATTTAGCAGAAAAAGACAAAGTTATATAGCTATTTATCAAGTAAAGGATTTACTGCATTGCATTATTTTGAAAATGTTCTAGTCAGTAGATTTGAGAATATCAGATTTACAATTCAGTTTCAGGGATGCCGTGCACTGATATTTTTAAGAGCTTTTTAAAAACTGCAAATGTAGACGTACAAGTGCTACTCTGTTAAAGGCCTGCAATGGTTTTCAAATAGCATCTCAGATGTTTAGGTTTCATTTTCATGCACAATAATTTTAAGGTAATTGTTATTAGTTTCTTCTCATCATTTGTTTTTTAGTATTTCTCTCTGGTCTTAACAGTAAAATATAACATTTTGGAGCAAATATACAGAAGAGCAATCCAAAGCTAGAGGCCAAAATGGCAAATATCTCCACAGCCACAGTGAACTTCCCAGGAGAGCTAACATATGCAGGAATAAAAGTGACCCATACTGCACAGAATATTAGCATACTGAAGGTGATGAACTTAGCTTCATTAAAATGATCAGGCAGCTTTCGAGCCAGAAAAGCAAGGATTAAGCACATCACAGCCAGGAGTCCTATATACCCCAACACAGCCCAGAACCCTATAGGTGAACCTACATTACACTCTAGAATAACCCTTTCAGTGGTATGAGCTGTATTTGTGTAGGGGAATGGTGGGGCAAGGGTTAACCACAGCACACAGACCAACACCTGCAGTAAAGTACAGCTGAGAACATTTGTTCTCTGAAGCACAGCAGAACACTGAGGAAGTGTGTTAGTCGGCCTTGTAGCCTTAAAAGCCATCACCACTGCTATAGTTTTAGCCAAGATACAAGACATGCACAAGGCAAAGGTGATGCCGAATGCTGTGTGTCGCAGCATGCAGGACACCACTGTGGGCTGACCTATGAAGGTCAGGGAACACAGGAAACACAGAGTCAAGGAGAAGAGCAGCAGAAAGCTCAGCTCAGAGTTACTGGCTTTGACAAGAGGTGTGTGACGAAACCGGAAGAATACACACAACACCACCAGTGTTAAAATCGCTCCAAACAACGAGAAAGCAGTGAGCAGGGCGCCCATGGTTTCGCCATAAGATAGGAACTCGATCACCTTTGGAACACACTGGCTGTGATCTTCATTTGACCAGTACTCCAGTGGGCATGGCGAACACTCGGCAGAATCTGAATAGAAAACATGGAACACTGAAATGTGTTTGTGCTGTAAGCTGCAAGTTATGAGACTCAAGCTCATACTGTATGAAATAAATAATGGCCTTGTAACGTTAAGACACTTATTGGATTGACACTGGAATTCATAGACTTTCTACATATATTAATATAAAATGAGTTACAGTATGGAAAGATTCTACTCACTGTTGGATTTGGTGATCTCTCCCGCAGCACAGGCAATGCAGGAGAAACAGCAGATGGGTTTCCCTTTAATCACAGCCTGCCGGAAACCTGTTGGACAACTCTCACTGCAGACGGACACAGGCCTCTGTAAAAACACCATTCAACTCATCAGTTACTCACA